CTGTCCCCCGTGCTTCTACTGGCGCCCCACCCCTCCTACTCCCCATTCTCCTACATTAGGGTTTGGGGGTGAGGGGTATGGGGGTGAACCCACTGTGTGCCGTTCCCTGCTCCTCCTCCTCCTCCGTCTCCTTGTGCTGCAGCTGCCACTGAGGGGGGGTGGACTTGTTGGAGCCGGTGGAGTGGTACAAAGGGGGGGTGAAGGGGGAGTGGAGCTAGGGGTGTAGCAGCGGGTATGTGTCAGGGGGAGTGGGATAGTTTGGGGAAGGTGAATGGAGGTTGCCGTCGTGTCGCCAGCAGCACCTGTAGTCCGGGGAGTTGCTCCGGTAGCCCAGTTGTAGCCACCTGTGCCAGTCGCCTGTGGGTCCATTGCTCGTCTGCCGCTACTTAAGCCGCGGGGCCAGTTACTCCAGTAGTCCGGAGCGTTGTTCCGGTAGCCACTGTGCCAGTGTGCCTCCTGTTGCCCGTGTGTCTGCAGCTTCAGCCGTCGCCTCCTATCTCCTCTCCTCTCACTCCCTCTCCTCCTCACTTGCCCGTTGTGACTACCACTAGCTTTGCTCATAATTGTGAACTTAAACTATTGCTTCTTGAACTTGTGCTCAGAATGTGTGGTGATATTGTGATCCACCCTGAGCTTGTTCTGTTTTGCTTGCTCTGCTGATTACACCCCACTTTGGCTATGGGGGTGTGTCAGAATGTTATCTTTGTTCTCTAGCCTGCAGTGGGGTACTCTATAGCGAGTACAACCCCTTAGGGTTTCCTATATGTATCCTGTTGCTTGCTAGTGCAGTGCATCCCTCTCTTTTGCCTTAACTATTCTTGCCTAGCTAGGAAAGACCTAGCTATGGCTCCTACTTCTAACTACCTATTCTCACACAAACCTCCACTTCGTGTCAAACCTAATGCCTGACACGAGATAGGAAAGCAATCTTATTCAGGTAACCCATTCGTTTCTTCTTGTGTTATAGATCAAGAAAGCTTGCTTGCTGTTCTTGCAAAGGCAACGGGCTTCATTACAATTGCAGTAATACAACATTCTCGTCGAACTATGTATTATACAATTATACAACTAGGGTGGGTGGGTGGGAAGTGGAACTGCAAAGTTGAAGTTGTGGATGGAGGCCGAATGGCCTCCAACCCTCTTTATGTACTCGGCGAATTGTAATTCGCCGTTGCTTTGCTGCGTTACAGGCAGCTGCGCTTTCACAATATACATTTTTAGAAAGTGTTAGACACTTTCGAAAAAAATCATATTTACAAATATATGAAAGCTCGTCTACGCTCGTCAGGAGCTGCACCCCTTCGCGAACAAAAGTCGCCAGCAGCTCGTCTGCATTTGCTGTCAGGGGTGGAGGTACCCGCCATACCGGGCCAGTAGCGGTGGGAGGAACCACAATACCCGTCCACCGTTCCACGCAACGTCGAAACGCGGTACAGTACAGTTGTGCCACCGTTCCATCCACCCACGCGAAGTGCTTTTTGTGCGGTCAACTACCCCCGCCGCTATTTATACCCCATTACGAACTTCCTTCCCACCCACGTACAATATCCAGGTGGCGTTTCTGTTGAGCTAACCCAAGAATCGCAAGTTCAGGATAACGCTCCTAGTTGGCAGAAGTCCTAGAATGGTCTTAGGATGCTAGCGGCGAAGCGGAGGAGAGCGCACGGAACGGCGCAAGGAAGGGTGGTTGAGATAGGGAGAAAATGGGTGCGTTTAGGGTTTCGAGCTCTGCTTGTGCTTCCGTTAACATCCTGACTGCTCCGCGTCGTCCTCGTTTAGCAGCCAAATCTCCCTCCCTTTCCGCCCGCCTTCCCCTCCGCCACCCTCTCGTCCTCTCCTTCCTCCTCCTCCTCTTCCGCTTCCCCCCCGCGCGCGCGCAAGTCCTCCCCTCAACCTTCCGCGTGCTCTCCTTCGTCGACACCTTCTGCGCCTCCCCGCTCGTTCCGCCCGACCGCCGCGAGGATGACCCCGTTATGGGGCCGCTTCCGGGGGGCACGGGCGCGGGGGCCACGGGCGCGGGGGGGACCGGCGCGGGGGGAACTGGCGCGGGAGGTGCGGAGAACACTGGAGCAGGGGGAGTTGGACCGAACTGCACCGTGTCGGTCTCCACAGGGCTGTTACCGTCACGTGCTGATGCGAACGACAGCGACAGTTACAACAGCTCGCAGTGGCGACTCACATACGTTCTCGCAGTGGGTGTGGTCCCTACCGATTTCGACTGGCCCGACCAGACTGTACAGTCTATACGCGTTAACGGGCGTGAAATGCTCACAGCAGGGCCGTGCAGGCCCGTGGGTCGGTGCGGGGGCACCCGCCCGTTCGCGTGTTACATGGGCGACGTGTCGTGGGCTCTGCCTGCCGCCAGTCGCAACCCAGCAAGCAATAACAGCAGCACTGCTGGTAACCCTATCGTCAACGCAACCCTGACCGTTGCAGTAACAGCGTCCGCGGAGGTAGCACAGCCGTGCCGCCTCTGCGGGGGCTTCCAGCAGTTACCCTGTCAGGTGTTACAGGCAGCGGTTCGCCTCACGGCCGTGCTCGTCCCAGTCGCGCTGAAGCAGCCGCAGCCAGGTCAGCCGCTACAGGAGCAGGCTCCCTCTGGGGCCGCCACAGCTGTTGGCTCGGCCACGGCATTTGATTCGTCTACAACTGTAGGCTCGGCTACAGCCACAGGTTCGGGTGCAGCCGCAGGTTCGGGTGCAGCCGCAGCTTCGGGTGCAGGGGCAGGAATGGGAGAGGCGAGTGGAGCAGCTGCGATACCAAGAGCCAGCAGCAGCAGCAGCGATGCTGGTGGTAGCGTTGGCAGTGGTGCTGGTGACAGTGTTGGGGGCGGAGGTGGTACGGCGCTTGTTGCACTGCAAGCGCGTTTGTCCGCGTCACCCGCGTCGTCTGTAGCATCTGTCGCGCCTCCAGCCTCTGTAGCGTCCGCGCCCGCAGTTGCAGTGTCGTTTGTGCGGGGGCCAGGGGGGGTGTCGAAGGTGGGGCGCGCGCGGTTCTCGTGGCAGGTGCTGGAGACGAGAGACGCGCTCTCACCTGCGCGCTGTGACGCCTGCACCTTCCTCTGCAAGGTGCGTCCTCCCATGCTCTCACCCCAGCTCTTCCCCATCCTCTCTTCCCTCACTTGCCCATGCCTCCCCGCCTCCTCCTGTTCCCACCAGTCCTCATTCGCTTCATCGTTGTGCAACGTCCAAGGGTTCAATGCGCCTCTGCAGGCGTCCTCCCCTACACGCCCCTCATCACATGCTTCTTTCCCCCTCTTACCTCCCTCTCTCACCTCCCCCTCTTACCTCCCCGTCTCACCTCCCCTTCTTACCTCCCTCCCTCACCTCCCTCTCTCACCCCATTCTCCTGTCTCCCTCTCCCACCTCTTCTCTCACCTCACCCACCCACCTCACTTCCACCCTCCTCATCTCCTCTCACCCCGCCATCCCCTTCCCTCCCCGACCCCCCCACACTTCCCCTGTCCGTGGGGGTGGTTCACAGCGTGCGGCCTCTCGGACGGGCGGCACCTCTTCACAGTCACGGCGCTCAAGGGCGCTTCAGGGGTCACTGGCACCCGCCTGCCTGCACATGTGGAAAACACGCAACCCCTTTATCCCGCAGGCCCGACCCCCTTGGCTGGCCCCACAACCGGACTCGCTTCCCAGCTTCCCCGGCCCTCGCGGGTGCTTCACAGCGGGCAGCCTCATACAGTCACAGCGCTCAAGGGCGCCCCAGGGGTCACTGGCACCCGCCTGCAGGCGTAGATCCACTCAAACGTCATCCCCTCCCTCTTCCGCCACTCTCCTCCCCGTCCGTCCCTCGCCCCTCCTCCGCCCTCCCCCGTGCGCCCCTCCCCGTCCCCCCGCAGCTAGACGCGCTTCCCAGCTTCCCGTGCCCGCGGGGGTGGTTCACAGCGCGCGGGCTGACGGACGGGCGGCACCGCTTCACAGTGATGGCGCTCAAGGGCGCCCCCGGGGTCACTGGCAGCCGCCTGCAGGCCGCTGCTGCTTCTGTTGGCATGGACGGCGCAGAGGGGGGAGGCGGGGTGGGGGGAGGGAGAGGAGGGGGAGGGGCGCAGGTGGAGGCTCAGGCGCAGGCCACATATGAATGGGTCGTTGGTACGTCTCGCCTTGTCTTTCCTCTTTCTCAGTGCTCTCATCACATTCTATCACTCAGTTCTCACCAATCGCGTTTGCAGAATTCTCGCCCGGGGCAGCTGTGCACCGGTGGGCGGGTGGGTGGGTGCACTAGTGCTTGGGTGGGAGGGTGGGTGGGACGGGTGAGGGGCTGACTGGCTGGCTGTGTGGATACAGGACACCCACTGTATCGCTGATTGCAGCTGCAAAAGGAGAGGCGTAGCTCCCTGTCAAGAGCCCACTCTTGGATATTACACTCTCACACGCCCTTCTCCACCCGTCCCCACTCCTCTCTACCATCCTCTCCTCCCGTGTGCGGCGTGCCCCATCAGACGCAGCCAGTCCAGTGCCAACGCTGACAGTGGACCCGCCACAAGCAAGGGAGGGCGCGGTGCAGATCAGCATAGCCTTCGACAAGCCGTGCCCGGGCCTGCAGTGCAACTCCACTGCCTGCGATGTACGTGATTGCTGCACTTTGTATATGCCTCGCTCCGTTTAGGCGCCCCCAAACACCACAAGTGCGGGGAGGCTCAGTGTGCATCAGCATTTCGTTTGACCAGCCGTGCCCGGGCCTGCAGCGCAATGCCACTGCATGTGATGTACGTGATTGAGTGCTTCTCTACGTACATCGCTCCTGTGAAATTTTAATGGAGCACTTGTTTACATGACGTATTGTTTAGGCCAGCTTTCACTGTTCGTGTACCCTCAGTGTGTACCCCCTTGGTCACATTAGGCTCCCTCCATCCCAACCTTATTCCATCGCTCCCAACCTCCGGTTCTCCCGGCATTTAAACCAACGAGTTCCCTCCTCCCCCCTCTCCCCTCCTCCCCTCCCCTCCGTCCGCACTTCCGCCGTCTCCTTTGGTCGCTCACACGTGTCAGGTGGAGGCATCACCACAGGGCATAGTGAGCATGGACCCCTCGTCGTTCCTGGCCTCAGATGACGGGACCCGATACTCCCTCACTGCCACCCTGCCACCCGCCTCCACCAGTAGTAGTAGCAGCAATACCGGAGGCAGTGCTAACGACTCTACCGACAGCAGCAATTCTACCAGCAATGGCGACAGCAGCAGCAGCAGTAGCAGTGCGAGTGGCGCTGCTGTGACTGTGGCTTTAAGACCAGGCAGCTGTGCTGACTCTAGTGGGAGGGCATGGAGGGCAGGGTTTGACTCGTATGCTGTTATTAGGATAGGTAAGCTCATGACTGGCAGAGTTGCCTAGGTGTGGAGAGATTGGACCACATGCCTAGTGGTGTGGAGAGATTGGACCACATGCCTAGTGGTGTGGAGAGATTGGACCACATGCCTCGGTGCCCCATTCTCCAACGTTCATGTTCGTCCCTCGGTGCTGCTCACCGTGCCTCTCACCGCGCCTCTCACCGTGCCTCTTGCCGTGCCTCTTGCCATGCCTCTTGCCGTGCCTCTCGCCGTGCCTCTTGCCGTGCCTCTCGCCGTGCCTCTCGCCGTGCCTCTCGCCCGACCACTGGAAGTTTAACCCACCCAGCCCTGACCCCCGCCCTACCTCTCCCACTCCCCACTTTTTCCCCTCCGACTGCCAGACCGCGTCCCTCTGGAGGCCACTCTCTTGTGCAACACGCCCATTCCTCCCCCACCTCCTTCCCCCCTCCCGTCTTCTCCCTTTTCCATCTCCAGCCAGACCGCGTCCCTCTGGAAGCCACTCTCTCGTGCGACACACCCTTTGCAGTGGTCAAGTTCTTCACGCAGCTCAGAGCCACGCCACACGTCCAGCCAGCCACTCATTACTACACCCTCGAACCGCACCCAACTCTAACCTCCTCCCATTCCACCCCTTCCATTCCCGCCTTCCAGACCGCGCCCCTCTGGAAGCCACTCTCTCGTGCGACACACCCTTCGCAGTGGTCAAGTTCTTCACGCAGCTCAGAGCCACGCCACGGGTCAGCCAGTCGCCCGTGACGTGCCGGGTGCTCTTCTCCAAGCGCGTCTCTTCCCTCTCCTCCGCATCCCTCGCTGTCGTCAACGCCACCACCAGCGACCCCCAGCCTGTCACTGACCTTGAGTACCAATTCCAGGTGGGTTTCCTTTTTTCCTTTTCTTCTTTCTTTATTTTCGAAAGTGGAACCTTTTTATTGGTTTTACTGTGAGTCGGTCAATGTCAGAGTCAGGCTTTAAGAGTCAGTCAGTCGCCCGTGATGTGACGTGCCGGGTGTTCTTCTCTTCTCCAAGTCAGTCTCTGCCTTGTCATGTCATCCGCATCCCTCGCCGTCGTCAATGCCACCACCAGCGACCCCCAGCCCGTGACCGACCCAATCCAGGTGGGTTGTGTTTCGAGGGGAATACAGGGTACAGCTTCTTTCTAGGTGGGTTGTGGAAAGAGTTCATTCACGGATGATAAGACTTGGACGGGACGGGGTTTACTGTGAGTCAACGCCACCACCAGCGACCCCCAAGCTGTGCCTGACCTGGAATACCAGTTCCAGGTGAGGTGACGTGAGGGTTGTGAAGAGCTGAGCACAGAACCAGTTTGTGGTGTGTTCGGGTACCAGTGGTGGGTGGTGCTGGACATAGGCCATACACACACATGTTGCTCCCTGCTCCCTCGCACCCTCCATCCCACTCCGAGTTACCCTATAGAATTCAACCATCAAGCGCTGTTCCTTGCATGTGATGTGATACCACTGCCACGTGTGGCCCACGCGAGAGGGCCCAGTGGTGGTGGATATATCATATACGGCATGAGGACTTGAGTGCTTCACTGCTTGCATGCTCCCGTGTTCCCCTCGACCACCAATCCTTCCCCTTGCTCCGTCGGTGATGCCATCTGGCAGGTGTGGCTGACGGGCGAGGGGGCAGTGGTGGAGGGCATGCGCCATGAGATGAGGACGTCACCCATGCTGCTCTCCTGCACGCTCTTGCCTACCCTAACCCACCAATCAGTCCTTGCCATTTCTCGCCTTTCCTGATGGCATGTGAGATGGCTGACAGGTGTGGCCGACGGGCGAGGGGTCAGTGGTGGTGGACATACGGCATGACAATGTCACTGATGCTGCCGGCAACACGTGCCAGCCCACACAGCCCTTCTTCTTCTTCTTTGGTCAGTCTTGTCTGCCCTCCACCCACCCCACCCGCCCCACTCTGTCTTGTGCTCTCCATGTCACGCTTTTCTTTTTTCCACCTGCCAGCCCACGCAGCCCACCGCAGTGTGCTCTCCCCCCCACCGCAGTGTGCTCTCCCCCCCACCGCAGCCTGCTCTGTCCATTTGTCGCACTTTTTGTTGTCGCATTTTCTCGAATTCTCAGAACTGCCCTGCACAACCCTTGACTTTCTACTTGGGTGTGAATGCCCCTTCCATACACTTCTGCATTCACATCCTGGCACTTCGCCATCCTCCCTCCATCCCTCCCGCCCTTTCTCCCTCCTTCCCGTCCCCGCTCACTCTAGACACCACGGCACCGTCAGTGCAGCTGAGTGTGAGTGAGAGTAGCGCCACCACGGACTGGGTCTACCCCATCCTCGTCGCCTTCTCAGAGCCCGTGCTGGGCTTTAACACCTCCTCCATCCAGCTCTCCAATGGAGTCATTACATGGTGAGTGAGATACATGTTTGTGGTGTTGCATGGCTGGGGCTATGGGCTGCCATCGCATGGATGAGAGGTCTACCCCATCCTTGTCTGGCCTTCTCAGAGCATGTGGCCAAGTTCAACAGCTCCTCTTGGCAGCTCTTCAATGGGGTCATTATCTGGTGACCGAGATTACTGCCGCTATGGCACAGCAAGCTATGGCACATGCGCATGCGCTGATCACCTGGATTATAGTAGTGCTACGAGCTGACAACGGTGGCAGTGAGCGACGGCGACATGTGTTTGTGTTGTTCTCCTCTCCCTTCATCCGCACCATGCCATCTCCCTTCATCCGCACCATGCCATCTCCCTTCATCCGCACCATACCATCTCCCTTCATCCGCACCATACCATCTCCCTTCATCCGCACCATGCCATCTCCCTTCATCCGCACCATACCACCTCCCTTCATCCGCACCATACCATCTCCCTTCATCTGCACCATACCATCTCCCTTCAACCGCACCATGCCATCTCCCCGCGCTATGTTCCATGCCCCCATCATGGTCTGCCATCTCCCATTCCTGTTCCAGCTGGACAGGGGTTGACAAGGGTTTGGGGCGGTACTACGAGGTGACGGTGGCGGCAGTGAGCGATGGCGATGTGACAATAGTGGTGCCGGCAGCAACTGTGGTGGACATTGCAGGCAACCCCAACTCGCCCTCCAACACCCTCTCCCTCGCTCACTGTGGGTCCACACTCTCTCTCTCTCACACAATAGGTTGACACTCTCCTATTTAGTCGAACCAAGTCAACAGTGGTGGATAATGCAGGGAACATGAACTCACCCTCCAACACACCCTCCCTCGCTCACTGAATGTGCCAACACACCCTCCTCAGTCACTCTGGGTTAACACTCTATCCCTCCTACGCTGTGGGGTAGCACTCTCCCTCCCTCACTCACTGTGGGGTAGCACTCTCCCTCCCTCACTCACTGTGGGGTAGCAATCTCCCTCCCTCAATCACTGTGGGGTAGCACTCTCCCTCCCTCACTCACTGTGGGGTAGAAATCTCCCTCCCTCACTCACTGTGGGGTAGCACTCTCCCTCCCTCACTCACTGTGGGGTAGCACTCTCCCTCCCTCACTCACTGTGGGGTCGCACTCTCCTTCCCTCACTCACTGTGGGGTAGCACTCTCCCTCCCTCACTCACTGTGGGGTATCACTCTCCCTCCCTCACTCACTGTGGGGTAGCACTCTCCCTCCCTCACTCACTGTGGGGTAGCACTCTCCCTCCCTCACTCACTGTGGGGTAACACTCTCCCTCCCTCACTCACTGTGGGGTAGCACTCTCCTTCCCTCACTCACTATGGGGTAGCACTCTCCCTCCCTCACTCACTGTGGGGTAGCAATCTCCCTCCCTCACTCACTGTGGGGTAGCACTCTCCCTCCCTCACTCACTGTGGGGTAGCACTCTCCCTCCCTCACTCACTGTGGGGTAGCAATCTCCCTCCCTCACTCACTGTGGGGTAGCACTCCCCCTCCCTCACTCACTGTGGGGTAGCATTCTCCCTCCCTCACTCACTGTGGGGTAGCACTCTCCCTCCCTCACTCACTGTGGGGTAACACTCTCCCTCCCTCACTCACTGTGGGGTAGCACTCTCCTTCCCTCACTCACTGTGGGGTAGCACTCTCCCTCCCTCACTCACTGTGGGGTAACACTCTCCCTCCCTCACTCACTGTGGGGTCGCACTCTCCTTCCCTCACTCACTGTGGGGTAGCACTCTCCCTCCCTCACTCACTGTGGGGTATCACTCTCCCTCCCTCACTCACTGTGGGGTAGCACTCTCCCTCCCTCACTCACGGTGGGGTAGCACTCTCCCTCCCTCACTCACTGTGGGGTAACACTCTCCCTCCCTCACCTCACTCACTGTGGGGTAGCACTCTCCTTCCCTCACTCGCTGTGGGGTAGCACTCTCCCTCCCTCACTCACTGTGGGGTAGCAATCTCCCTCCCTCACTCACTGTGGGGTAGCACTCTCCCTCCCTCACTCACTGTGGGGTAGCACTCTCCCTCCCTCACTCACTGTGGGGTAACACTCTCCCTCCCTCACTCACTGTGGGGTAGCACTCTCCTTCCCTCACTCACTGTGGGGTAACACTCTCCCTCCCTCACTCACTGTGGGGTAGCACTCTCCTTCCCTCACTCACTGTGGGGTAACACTCTCCCTCCCTCACTCACTGTGGGGTAGCACTCTCCTTCCCTCACTCACTGTGGGGTAACACTCTCCCTCCCTCACTCACTGTGGGGTAGCACTCTCCTTCCCTCACTCACTGTGGGGTAGCACTCTCCCTCCCTCACTCACTGTGGGGTAGCACTCTCCCTCCCTCACTCACTGTGGGGTAGCACTCTCCTTCCTTTACTCACTGTGGGGTAGCACTCTCCCTCCCTCACTCACTGTGGGGTAACACTCTCCCTCCCTCACTCACCGTGGGGTAGTACTCTCCTTCCCTCACTCACTGTGGGGTAGCACTCTCCCTCCCTCACTCACTGTGGGGTAACACTCTCCCTCCCTCACTCACTGTGGGGTCGCACTCTCCCTCCCTCACTCACTGTGGGGTAGCACTCTCCCTCCCTCACTCACTGTGGGGTAGCACTCTCCCTCCCTCACTCACTGTGGGGTAGCACTCTCCCTCCCTCGCTCACTGTGGGGTAGCACTCTCCTTCCCTCACTCACTGTGGGGTAACACTCTCCCTCCCTCACTCACTGTGGGGTAGCACTCTCCTTCCCTCACTCACTGTGGGGTAGCACTCTCCCTCCCTCACTCACTGTGGGGTAACACTCTCCCTCCCTCACTCACTGTGGGGTAACACCCCCCCTCACACGCACTGTAGGATAGCACACCGCTGCTCTCTCCCCGTCCCAATGCACCGCCCTTGTGGGACGGCTCTCCCTTCTCCTTCCCCTCTCTCCTCTCTCTCCCATACAGACGCGCCAGGAGATGCGGGCGCGATAACGGCGTGGGTGGTGACGGCAGTGGTGGGGTGGACGGCGCTGTCCACAGCAGCGGTGTCGCTGGCCGTCACCATCAAGGAGTCCGACCCCACGTCCTCGCCGGGCATCCGCATCGTCTCCAACCGCCCCTTCCGTGCCGTCAGCACGCCCGTCGTGGGCGCGGATCCCTCTCGAAACGTTCTCGTGAGTTGGTGGTGTGCCCAACCAACAGGACAGCCTGGCAGTCAGTCACACCCCACCTCGTCTCCCATCTCCACTCGCCCCTCAGCGCATGGCACTGCTTGTGCAAGTCGTTGCCCTCACACTCACACACAACCTGGGTGGGGGCACACTCACACACAACCTGGGTGGGGGCACACTCACACACAACCTGGGTGGGGGCACACTCACACACAACCTGGGTGGGGGCACACTCGCACACAACCTGGGTGGGGGCACACTCACACTGCTTCTGCTTCTCCTCGGGTCACGCCCCTCCCCCCATTGTCCCCCACAGCGCATGGCTCTGCACCTGCAAGTGTTCGCACTGACGCAGCACCTGGCAGTGCGCGTGCTGCCGCTGTTCTACCGCCAGCTCACAGGCGGGCTGCGCTGGACCTACTTCTACATCCCCGCGCCCTTCAAGGGCTCCTTTGATGGCTGGAAGGGCGTCTACTCCTCTCCCACTGACGCCCCCGGCCAGGACAGCAGCACCCCCCCGCCCTCCTGTGCTCCGTAAGTGCTGGCTGCTACTACAAAGTCATTGGAGTGATGTAAGGGTATCCTGGCATCATAGTATACCCTTTTGGGATCATGTGTTGTTGAGTCATCTTCCGACGATGGGTGGGGAGCGAGTGCATCTCCCTCTGAGGCACCGGGGCAGGGCGACAGCACCGCCCCGCCCTCATGTGTGCCGTGAGCGTAAGTTCTCACTTGATACCCAATCTTCATGCTTCAACACATCCTATGGTTGAGGCGCCTCAATAGGCCCCGGGCAGGACAATAGGCCCCGGGCAGGACAATAGGCCCCGGGCAGGACAATAGGCCCCGGGCAGGACAACAGCACTGCCCCCCCCCCCTGCACTCCTGTGCGCCGTGAGTGCTTCATTGTTTCCCGCCCCTCTCACTTCCGCCCACCCCCCTCTCAACCCCTGCCTCCATCTCTCTCTGTCTCTCCCCTTCTCTCCCCTCCCTTCCACCAGCCACTACCTCGCCACCAAAACAGATTGCTCTCGCTCTTGCAACCCCTCTCAATCCCTTCGTTCTGCCCTCTGTCCCATTGTTCTCCCCCTCCCCTTCCCCCCTTCTCTCTTCTCACCATGTCTCCTCTCCCTTCCACCAGGCACTATCTCGCCACCAAGACGGACAGCTCTGCATCCTCCTCCTCCAACCCCCCTCAACCACGATCAACTCCTCTGTTCTGCCTGCTGTCCCATTGTTCTCTCTCCCCCCATCTCTCCCTACCACACACCAGGCACTACCTCGCCACCAAGGCAGACAGCTCTGCCTCCGCCTCCTCCGCCAACCCCTCTGCCTCGCCACAATCGAAGCTCTCTTTCTGGTCTAAGTTCTTCTCCCCACCACCAGCAGCAGTGGGCAACACAGCAGCTGACAGCACAGCAACACACGCCTCCCTCAACCCGCGCAACCTCCGCCGTGTTCTCTCCTCCTCCTTCCACTTCCTCCTCTCCTCTCTCTCCTCTCCCCCGCCCTCACATTCCCACCGTGTACCCTACTCTCACACAATCCACTCCCCTCGCTCTCTCCCCGACCGCTTCAATACTGCCGACTCCTTGCCGCCCCATGCCCATGCCCATGCCCATGCGCATGCCCACGTGCATGTGCAAGCACGGCAACTAACCAAGTCACATGTGCACATGCAGCATGCCATGTCGCATCCAAGCCTGACGCACGGTCGCAGTTTGGGGTCGTCTCGAGCCCTCCCCTTCCACCCAATCCCCTTCTCGCCCCCACCCACCTTCCACCTACGAGGCATGCCCTTGACCGCCCCCTCTCTCCCCTCCTCCTTCCCCTCCTCCCTTCACTCCGCCTTCCCATATACTCTCTTCCCATTGTCCCTATCGTCTCGTGCGCCCTCCCACTATCATCGCATGCTTCAAGAAACTACCGCCAGCACCACCAGCAACAGCAGCGCAAGCGGTTACAGTGGCTTCAATGCGACTGCTCTTATAGCCCTGGCAGTTGCAGGGGGTGGGACAGGGGGAGACGCAGCAGCAGCAATAGCAGTAGCGAGGGGGTTCGACCCCACGCTGCTGCCGCGGCTGAGCGAGGAGGAGTATGAGTACATGCAGGCGTGGGGCAATGCTTACTACTCGCACTTCCCCAACCTCTTCTACTCCTACCATGGGTGAGCGCGCCTTTTAGATTGCTACATGGCTCATGTCTTGTGTCATGCCCTCAGGCCATGTGTCATGCCCTCATGCCATGTGTCATGCCCTCATGCCATGTGTCATGCCCTCATGCCATGTGTCATGCCCTCATGCCATGTGTCATGCCCTCATGCCATGTGTCATGCCCTCATGTTGTTCCTGAATGCTTTTCCTCTTACGTCCTCACATCCTCAGGTTTGCCCCCTTCTTGTTGGCTCTTCGTTTCTCCCCATCTATTTAACTCGAAGAACCAATTCTACTCCTTTCTTTCTTTCTGCACCCCCCCCCCTTCCTGCCCCCCCTCCCTCCCCCACCCCACCAGCTTTGAGCAGTTCTGCACGGTGCCCTTCTGTTTTGCCTCCTCTTCTTCGCCCTCTCCCCCCCTCTTCCCCCAACCGCCATCGCTCAACCCAACCAAAACCCTCATCTCGCTTCCCATCCCTCTCCCCACTCCCCTCCCCACGCCCCATCTCCCCGCCCCACGGCGCCAGCTTTGAGCAGTTCTGCACGGTGCTATTCTGGTTCGCACTCTTCTTCTTCGCCCTCTCGCTGCTGCAGCTGCTCTTCCAGTGGGCGTGGCAGCACTGGCGCTACCAGTGGCTCTACGGCCTCCTCGACCCGCCGCGCCTGCAGTTCCTCCTGCTCGCGCTCTCCCTGGCGGGCATCTCCTGGGGCTGCACGCTGCTCATCAGGGGCAGCATGGAGCCGGGCGGCACGGCGGCAGGGCTGGCAACGGGGGTCATCGTGCTGTGCCTCTGGCCCGTGCTGTTTCTCATCTTCTCCTTCTCAGTCGTCTGGTACATCGTTGTTCAGGTGGGTTGGGTTGAATTCAGGCGCGGTTCTGGTGGGTTCGAGGGTGGTTCTAGTATGGCTCTGGTGGGGTGAAGAGGAGGAAAGCGTGCTGTGCTGCTACTCTCTGGTTTGAGCTGCGGGCGGGGTGATAGGTCTCCACCTCTGGCCCGTGCTGTTTCTCATCGTCTCCTTTTCAATCGTCTGTTACACTGTTGCCCAGGAGGGTATTGTGCTGTTCAGGCAGGTGAGACGAGGGGGTGTGGTTCGGTGGGTGGGGTGGATGGGTGCATGCGTGCTCTTATCAGTTGCTCAAATGTTGGCTTCTCAGGTCGAGACTCAGACGGCCGAGGCCCGCAAATGGCATTGACCAGCCTACCCTCCCTTCCATGTACCACTCTCCTTCGTGATTTGTTACTTGATTCAAACACCAGTTAAGGCACACATGTTTGTGAGTCCTATGAACACAACCTCACTCTCGCACTCTTCCTCTCCCCCTCCCTTTCTTCTCCGCTCAACTCGCCACTGCTGCAGCAGCAATTTGATCTTTTCTTCGTGCAGGGGATGGCGGAACCGGGCCCCACCCTCATCTGCATCCCCGTCTCCTCTCCTCCTTTCCTTCCCCTCCCCTTCCCCACAATCCTATCCCCCCTCCCTTGCGTAGGAGCAATTCGCGCGCTTCTTCGTGCGCGAGATGACGGAGCCGCGCAACGAGGCGTGCATCGCATCGTTCGCGCGCGCCTTCTGGGCCGCGCTGCGCCAGAAGCGACTCAAAGGCCACTGGGTCACCATCACGCCCTCCCAGAAACACATCCTTCCGAGATTCGGAATATTCTTTGAAGACTTCACAGGTGAGGGGGTGAGAGAATGCTGTAGGGATTGACTGATGAGGGAAGCAGTAAGCATGTGAGACTCTCTGGTGCGGCTGGAGCGGGTCAAGGAAAGGGCCAGTGGGTCACCATCACGCCGTCTCAGAAACACATGCTGCCGTGATTCGCCATCTTCTTTGAAGACTTTACAGGTAGGGCGTGGGAATAGGCGAGGCTGCAGCTCATGTAATGTCTCTCTGATTTAGAGTAATTCCTTACATATCAAGCACCCTTGTCACCTGAACAACTGAACACCTTTTTCCATTCGAAACACGCTTTTACATTTGGACCAACCTTGCTTCTGACATCACTTGGATTTTATTGTTGGTTTATTTGTGTAACTAATCCCCTACGCCCCTCTCACCCCTCCCGTCTCACCGCTGCCTTGTGCCAGTGTGGGGATCTGTGGGCGCCTGGGGTGTGTTCAAAAACTGACTCAGGGCTGCTTCTCATGCCACTTACCGATGTTGTCCCTTGTTTCTCATGCCCCCTCTGCCTCTCTCCCGCGCGCCTTTTTCACCCTTGCGTCGTGCCATACCAGTGTGGGGATCTGTGGGCGCCTGGGGGGTGCTCAAAGACCGGCTGAGGGCTGCCTATGGCACTCTGGACTTTCTTAAAATGGTAAGTGTTGCTGTTTATGGCACTCTGGACTTCTTAAATGGTAAGTGCTGCTGTTTATGGCACTCTGGACTTTCTTAAAATGGTAAGTGTTGCTGTTTATAGCACGCTGGACTTCTTAAATGGTAAGTGTTGCTGTTTATGGCACTCTGGACTTCTTAAATGGTAAGTGCTGCTGTTTATGGCACTCTGGACTTCTTAAAAGGTAAGTGTTGCTGTCTATATGGCACTCTGGCTTTCTAGTATGGGCTGCTGTTCTTAGTTAACGTGACTGTTTGTTCACACTCCCTTATACACACTCCCCTCCGCACACTCCCTTACTAACACTCCCTAACACTTTCTTACGCCCTACCCACACAGCCCTGATCCTATGCACACACTCAATTTAAAGAAGCCTTCGCTCTTCCCTACGTCTCTTTGTCTGTCTGTCTGTCTGTCTGTCTGTCTGTCCGTGTGTGTCCTTGTGTCTGTCTGTCCATGTGTATCCATTTGTCTGCGTGTCTGTCTGTGTGTGTGTCTGTCCATGTCTGTCTGTCTGTCTGTCTCTGTCTCTGTGTCTGTGTCTCTGTCTCTGTGTGTGTGCAGGTGCTGGTGGGAGCGCTGGTGGGAGCATGGAGCCCGGCAGGCAATGCTGTGGCGCAGCAGGCATGCCTGCTCACCCTCGCACTGCTGCATCTGCTCTTCCTGCTCTTCCTTCAGGTGCGTTCTGGACTCACTACAAGCACACTCTTCCTTCAGGTGCGTTCTGGACTCACTACAAGCACACTCTTCCTTCAGGTGCGTTCTGGACTCACTACAAGCACACTCTTCCTTCAGGTGCGTTCTGTACTCACTACAAGCACACTCTTCCTTCAGGTACGTTCTGGACTCACTACAAGCACACTCTTCCTTCAGGTGCGTTCTGTACTCACTACAAGCACACTCTTCCTTCAGGTGCGTTCTGTACTCACTACAAGCACACTCTTCCTTCAGGTGCTGCTATTTGCTGCACGCTCAAGTGAACCACTCTCCTCTAACATCCAATCACCATTCCGCATGTTCCCCTCCCCTCCACTCCACCCCCTCCGCGTGCCCAACAGCCCTTCACAGAGCGAGGGCTACAGGTGGTGGAGTGGAGGCAGTGAGCTCGGCGCGGAGGTGGTGCCGTGCTGTTCTGTTTGCTGATATATCAACCACACTGTACACAACTCAACCACTGTACACCCCTCCTCTCCTTTCCACTCCTCTCCACCCTCCCCAACTGCCCTTCACAAAGAGAGGCTTAAGGTGGTGGAGGTAGTGAGCTCGGGGGCAGAGGCAGTGCTTTCCTTTTTGGGTTATCTGAGCCACATTGTACACAACTCATCTCCTGGTTTCTCCGTTTCTCCCACCCCCCATCAACAGCCGTTCACAGAGCGAGGCCTACAGGTGGTGGAGGCGGTGAGCTCGGGCGCGGAGGTGGTGCTGTTCGCATGTGCACTGGCCATGGCCATCGACTGGGACATGCCTTCCAGCTTCGCTGGCACTCTCGGGCTCGTCATGGCACTCGCGGTCGGCCTCGCCTTCATCGGCCAGCTCTTCAACCAGTCAGTGCTGCCCTGCTGTTCTTTACCTCCCCAGACACTGTTGCTGACGTATGCTGGTATTCACGTGAGTGACACTTGGGCAGCAGATCAGCCGCAGACTCATGCTGCCTTGACTGAAAAAAACTTATTTTCCTTATTTTCATCAACATATCTCATCTCACATATCGTTCCCCTCCCCTTTCTTATTCACCTCAACCCCAATGCCTTCCCCTTCCACGATCTATTATTCGCGTTGCAGCTGGGTGGCACTAGGCCAACAAATCAACCGCATGCTCAACCCACCTGACGACGAGAGAAGCCCGTCTCACCGATCGGACGGGGACGATTTCTCGGATAACGACGACGATGACCTGGACGACGACGACAATGACGAGGATTTCGATGACGAGGATGACGGGAACGGTGACGACGACGAGGATGATGATGACGACGATGATTACGATGATGATGAGGAGGATGATGACGAGGGGGATACAAGCATGGATGAAGCGGAAAGAATACGGCAACAGCAACAACAGCAACAGCAGCAGTAGCGGCAGCAGAATCAAGAGTATTATCCTTCCTCCTCATGTGCCATCCCTTGATTCCCTCCTTCAGCCACTAACATGGCAGCCATATGCTGCCGTAACACTCTCTAACCACTGGTTGACTCCCCAAACTTTCTCCGATCTTGCCTCTGAACTAACAAACTGCTGGCTCTCCCTCGCTGATAGCACCACTGCTGCTGTGCTCTTAGTAAAGCTTGACCGAGTCTGCTTGCTGCAACCACTCGCTGCCTGCAAGCTGATACTTCTCCGACCATACCGGTGGGTTAGTTGCTAATCTTATCCTTATTTATTAATTATACTAATTAGGAATACGTGAGATACCAGTAATGGGGCCTGGATAGAAGTTCAGGATTGTACATATTCTTACACTTATACCCGTCATCGCCCGGATATAAGACATTGTCGAATTGTAAACAGGGGTGTCTTGAATTAGGGTAGATTCTTATAAAGGGTTGTCCTGGTTATAAGAAACCCAAGTGTGTGTACGAGTTTATACGTATGTCTTATAAACGATGGTTGTCTTCTAAACAAGGGGTGTTTTCTACGCGGGTTCTAGCATTAGCAGGGTTCAAGATACACACGAGTAGCACTGCCGTTCCTATCTAATCCCCCTTGGTCACGCCCTCTTTATCTGCACTAGCAGTAGAGGCCTCGTACTGTCTGGAGTCGCGTGCCCGATCCATGAGGTTCTCAGCCAGGGCTGCAGCCCCACGGTAGTTGGGGGCCAACACCTCCAGACCAGTAGCCACGCCGACTTCCCTGAAGCCGCCGGCCTGCAGCTCCTCCTCCTCCCCCCCCCCCCCCCCGCCAGAACCTGCAGCCTCCTCCTCCTCAAGAATGCATGTGTTGTCCACGTGCTCCCCCGCAAAAAGATGTCCTCAGACACGTCAATGGTGCTCTTGGCCTGCATGTGAGCCAACACCAACTTATTCTCGGTCCCATCGAGCTTGTCCGAGATCACACAGGTCTTGAAGGCCTTGACGATGAAGTATCGTGGCACTTGCTCCCAGGCCTCCGCAATCCACTTCAGCAACACGTGGTGCGAGGGCCTCCTAAAGTTTCATGGGTGTAATGTAAGAAGGCAATGAAATGGTGCGTGCCAGTCTATTGTATGAAAACCAGGAAGAATCAGGGGATGAGAAGGCAGATTCAACGTAGCAACTCACTCGCTGGTGACTTTAGGTTCATGCCATATTGCATAAACAACCTGCAGTAGTGAGATCGCAAGGCGATCGGAAGGGGGTGGTGAGGTTGTAAACCCACGTAAAGCCTTTCACACCAGGCGGGCCTTGTAGCAGACATGGTAATTCGTCGTCAGCACCCAGCGGTTCTTCACGACGTTGACTCTGCGCAGGCGCTCCACAAGCTCCCACGTGCCGTTGGCGAGAAGACCCCGTATCTCCTCGTCCATCGCTGCTTTCACCGCCTTGCCCTACAAGCTCTCCAATGCCTCCTTGACCAGCATGGTCACGATAATGTTGCATAGGGTCGGCGTGCATGTCAAGGTCGAGCTCGGAGAGGCCGACGTTGGCTTGCGCATCGTCGAAGATAGTGTTGCAGGCAGCCGTCGGCGGGCAAGCATATCTTTATCGCTCTGGAGCCATGCCAAGGTTGGGACAAGTTAAAGGTCGCGGTCCCGGTTTGTTGACCAAACCTTCGACAACGACGATATTGTTGGACTGCGCCCTTGTTGAAATGCGTATGGAGGTATGCCGTCCAACTAGTGTAAAGGTGTGATCGTAGTCGACGAACTGGGTTTTCTTGAAGCTGCATACAACCCTGTGCGCTTTGTACTTGTCGACTGAGCCGTCCGCAAGTGTTTTGATACGAACACACACATTTCGCGTTGAGATTTTTTCTCCCCTTAGCCAATGCTCGCGGTATCATCTTCCACGTGTCACGCCGTTTGAGTGCAGTTACTTCGGTGGTCATGGCTTCTCTCCACTTCTCAGTGTTGGGGCCCTACAGGGCTTGACGAACAGTTGTAGGCTCGGCAAGCTGCTGGTTACCACAAATGGCAATGGCAAGTCCGAGTATGCATAGCTCAGTGAGATTGGAGTCAGCGGTATTGGTCACTTCGACCACGTTGTCGTCGTCACCAGGGATGTCGCGAATGGTGTCGCGAGAGTCGTTCTAGTTTTGGTATTTTTCCATAGGTGAGTGCATTTCATCAATTTCGTTATTGCGTTGTGCTTGTACAGGTTCATTTGGGTCAGTGACGGTGAAGATGAATGTTGGAGTGCCTCTCCTCTGATTGAATTTTCTGCTGCTGGCTCTGCCACATCAACTTCGTCCTGATCGTTTGCAAAACTATGCTCCCCGTGGAAAAAGTTGTTTGGTGCTTACTGTGTAGTGTGGTGCTGGCGGGATAATGGCAGTGTCATCTTTTCGTAGAAGGTGCAGTCACATGAACGCGTGACCTGGTGGGTGGCAAAGTTGAGGATGGTCCATGTATAGTCTCCTGCTCGATGGCGAGGTGGATGCCCCCATCGGGCTCAATCTTCAAATTTTCCTTTTTAGGCAGTGTGGGGCCGGTACTGTACACATGCAGCCGAAGAACCCTAGCATTTGCGTGTCAGGGTTGTCTCCGGTCCACTCCTTGAAAGGTGAGTTGTTGTCGGGCAGGGTTTTTGAAGAAAGGATGTTCTGTACTTGCACATAATGGGCCATCACGTAGGGCCAATATGCGGTTTGCACATCCGAATGCTTCGCGAGGGCCCTCATAATTGTTGCGAGACTCCTATTGGCTCGTTCGGCCAAGCCAATCTCTGCTGCTTGTGAGCGTAGGGCAACGAAATCATCCTCTTTCTCTCCTCCGCGCAAAACTTTCTGAACCTTTCGTTGACATAATTTGCTACTCCGTCCGTTTAAAAGGCCTTCAGTTTCTTCCCCTCGTATAGTGTCTACGCCATAATTAGCCACAGATAGAAGCACTCAAAGGCGAGCTCATGACTGGATACGTAAGCGGCCCAGATGAACCACGTGGCCACATCGATGAACGTTATGGTGTAGTACTCTCCTTTAAGTCCGCAAGCGGTGAGACACAGAAAGTCGCTATATACCTTGTCCAACGCCTCAAATCATTCGAGACAAGGGACTTTCTCTGGAAAGGGTTTGTGCGCTAGTGCTGCTATCGGGCAGACAGTGCAGGTGGGTATATCCTTTCATGGCTGTAGCTTACTTCCGTTGGGCAGAATTAGCGCGTCTTCCGCGAACACTCTGGTGTTACTCGAATTGTTGAGTGCCTTGATGGAGGGTGTCCAAGGCGTTGATGTCAGACATCTGCTTCAGCACGATACCACTGTACGCGCATATAGTTGCTTTTCCCGAGCTAATATTCCCGATGCCGTTGGTGTTGTTGTTTCGACTGCATGTTCATTAGGCACAAGCACTTGTATGGCTGCGACGTGAAGATTTTCGAGCCTTGTTCCTCAGTACACACCTTTGGATTCATTGACGTTTCCGATGTCAATTGTCATGGGGAGCAGCTGCGGGCCCTGGTACAGAGTCGGAGTCTTATCAGGGCCACCACCTTCTTCGAGTTGTGCGACGATACCTTCTTCGGCGATATCTTTGATTGGTGCTCCCCTTGTGTTGAGGCGGTAGAAGCTGCTTCTGTTGATTGTAACTGTCAAAAGCTTGAGCTAGGCTAAGGAGCCATAGCTAGTTAAAACAAGAATTGGGTATCGAGCAGTTGAGAGAGTCGAGAAGTTTCAACAAAAAGGAGGGGTTTCACTATAGGGCGAGGAGTACAAATAGGCAAGAAGAAAGGTGCACCACCAAACAGAACATTATATAACTACAGTAGTCTACACTACAGGCAGTTACAAAAACAACATATAGAAATATATATTATTCTTGACAGTAACATGGATGAGGTGAGGTCCGAATTCTGGTAGAAGTTCTTTTTCAGCACCAGGTAGTTGTCACATGCTCAGACACGTTGACGATGATTTCCTATCGCATCCCTTCAATAACCTTTGGTTCCTGTTCTTTTGTGCTTGTAGGAGCGGTGCCGCCTTAGCCTTCTTTGCCTTCATCCACGCGTCCGGGCGGAGGTCCTCAGTCTGTTCCTCATGTTTCCCATTCAACGTCTATTGCGTCCTAGCTGGATGCCACGTCCCAGCATGTAGGTTGATCGACACTTAGCCAAATTGCTTGCGCCCATCCTCCTACGGAGGTAACTTCTTCAACTACTTGTGGTCTTGTGCTTGTAGGGTTTGAAGTTGAAGCGACAGGATTGGCGAGTGCACGGCACAGTCCATGTGGGCCGGGTCGTTTCAAGTCTGTCTCCAAGGGATGAGTCCAAGCAGGTGGTGAAGGATGTGCTGAAGGGTCAAGAACAAGAATGCGGTCTTTGTCGCCCATGTTCCGAGGTAAGTTGAAATTGAGCACGAATACACTGTTTTCGCATTTCGCGTTTCTAATGAGTTTTCCCTTTTAGATTAAATGAAATTCTATCTCTAGTGAATGCAGCCGGATACCACATTTCATTAGCTGGGCGGCCGAGAGAGGATTGAAGCGAAGACTCGGCACCACTACTACATCGCTAATGTGAATGGAGAAGTTCGTGTCCTTCGACTCAAGCTGGATTTGTCTCCGGCTTGTCGCCAATATCGTGTGGTTGTGGGCGACGGTGATATCCACGTCGTTGACAAGTCCTTTGCAGCTGAGGATGAACCTGTCAAAGGCGACCATGTATTGTTCGCAGCAGTTATCCAGATACCACATATTAATTTTGTCATTTTTCGTTGCGATGTTTGCAAGGTGCGAAGTAATGTGGTGCTCTCGTATTCCCGTCCCTCGTCGTCTAGTGCGATGCAGGCAGGTGGTGACTTTGCAATCCACTGTGGTGCTTTTCAGTCAAAAGGGATGTGACCGACCTTCATCTCGACATAAGTCGAGTCGTTATCTTCTTCGGCCTCGTCTGACCCTTCTTCGGTAGGTGGGTCCCGGAACATGTCTTCCCAGCTGCAAAAATATCG